AACACTAAATATTTTAAGTCTTTATCAATTCACGAGTATCAGGTCGTATTAAGGATTTCCATTAGGTAATAGCTTCCCTGTGATCACAAGGCATGCCTCTTAATGCAGCTGTGCATGTGGATGTTACAGGTAGGGCCAAGGAAAGAGCATGAAGTTGTTTTGGGATGTAGAAAGCTGATATAATCAGTGTCAAAATCTAAGTCTTCTTTATATTAGGCCGTGAGTAGCTAAATTCCCAGATAGCGGGATTACGAATCATATATATTTTGTAATATTTTAGCTTAGTTAGGAGCATTTTATGGTACAAAATTACTTGTATCACATGAAAGCCCCTTAAAATTTATTGCAGTATTGTTGAGATGGTTACGCCGTATTAAAAGCTTCCTAAAAAGTTTTAACTTTGAGCTCTTATTATAGGCCCATCTTATAAGTATACGAATGATTATGACTCTATGATAACTGTATCTTTTGAATAAGAACATTAGTAACTTAAGATCGCATAAGGTGTAGTACTGATATTTAAATTTTCATACAATTAAATGAGTATACTCTCTTGGAAGTACAGTCATATTGGCTTGAGAAATTGACTTACATCTTTAGGTTATAAAAATTTGCTTTCACCGTCTTGAATTTTCAACTTTAAGTGACCTAGACCCTTTATTATGTAGCTAGTTCAGTCGGGGGTGAAATGCTCTCTAATTTAAAAGGATTAAGTAATATATTATTTTAAGATATGAAGACCAAGATGGTGTGGTCCTCGGTATTGTCGCCGCCTCCTTTCGATTTATAGAAGTGGGTTAACCTCGTTTTCGCAGCTTGGTCTTGTTGTCAATGCGACTTAGTCGAACGCACCTTGTCCGAAGTGCTCTGCCATTGTAGTTATCATAATTCCGAGCATCAGACTGTAGGCTTGGCAAATTCTCAGACGTTTCACCGGCATCGCAGTCGTTGTCATCAGTGAGTCTTGCCATAGAGTAACCGTTTCGGTAGAACGTTGGTGGAGAGATTGACTTAGCTTGTCTCTTTGATGAGTTTGTAGCTTGATTTAGAGAATGACAAGACTCCCTGATGATGCCGACTACGATGCCAGGGAGACGTCTGAGAATGTATTAAGTCCACGGTACGATGATGGGAATTATGATAACTGCTATGGCAGAGGACTTTGGACAAGGTAAGCTCAACTAAATCCCTCCGACAACAAGACCAAATTGCGAAAGCAAGGTCAACCCACTTTTATAGATTATTTTAATGTATTAATTTGACTAACTTACTGGGGGACAGTAGTCTGGGGAACATATGACTCACAAAGACTCATCATGGCGTTCCTGCATATTACACAAGTGTCGTGCATGACGTCCCAAGCCCAGAAAGCACAGGCGCTCCAACGTTTTACATGGAACCGCTTTTCTTGTCCTGCTTTCTCCAGTTCGCTGCCCTCATTGGCTCCGCCTAATCCTCCATTCTTGGGACCTGATCCCGCGGTCAATTTGTCAGATCCAGTTCCGGAATTTGCGGTGAATCCCTCATGTTCCGGATAGTTCATTTTTTCGTTCTCACCAACTGATTTTGGCCGCAATTCTCTACCTGGTGACGAAGCTGGAAGAGAATGCTGGTTTCCTGCTTTTAGTGTTGCCTGTAGCATTACCCTTTCGTATAAGTATGGAAAGGTTCCAGATGATGATAATTGTTTGAGGCTATTTACCGAAATAATTCCTTCAGAATCCCAAATTTATAAAAAATTAATTGGACCTGGATCCTCAAAAGGTCTGATTGTGTTCAAGGTTTACTGTTAGCGAGTGATGGACATTTTGGCATGCATTCTACACGCCAGCAAACGGCTGCTTTGTCTCTCTAAAACTCTGAACATTTTATAAGCGGTCAATAGATAAGGCATATCAGGCACTTTAGAACGCGACCTGGTATCGATCGTTGGGTGAAAATGACCTGCAAAACTAGCATGAGCAAGTAGAGTCTTTATTACGAGCCAAATAATTAATTCAATTTATGAGCGAAGCCTTTTCCTACGAGCCAAATTTTATGAATGATCTGCCCCACTAAGGGACATAAAGCTCTCCGGCCAGTCTTTAATAGAGCCGGCTCGTGGCTGACTTGCGAATAGGAAAAAAAGTTGGTGATGGGCTTAGCATCTTCACACTAGTAGGCAGAGAAGCTATGAAAGTCTAGACTGATACAAAAATTATAAAAATGTTAGACAGTTCTGTGCTTTACTTATCTAATAAGGTGGTCCTTAGATGTCAACAATAAGATTAGGCCCTGAGTCAATTATTGTTCATATTTCAAAATATACACTAAGCGAATGGTGCGATAAACAGGAATAGCTAGGGGCGATATTTATGCAGCTGATTTAAACACTGCCTTATTACATAATAAAAGTTAATTTGTAGCTCGACCTTACATAAACTTAAGGTCATAAGGCCCAAGAGTAGCAGAGATCATCGTCTTGATCTAAATTAATCCTGCTGCGCTATCCTTTTTGATTATCACACTGTTGTAGCAAGAGATCGCCTTCAACCAAAAAGATAGATTTTTACAACTATATGGGGTTACATGCTGGAATTCATATTGAAGTTTCAACTTCGGTGCTAAGAGATTATATTTAACATGAATATAGGAATTGAAACAAAAAAATATTCTTGAGGATACTAGAACTTATCGATTGATAACAAAAAATCAAACAGATAAAATCAAAGAGGCATTGTAAGAAATGCTGAAGCATATAAATACGAACCAAAGAATCGAAAAATGGACAATGAGTTAACTCCTACGAAGGAATGTAAGAGCCCCAACAGCATACTGTTTGCCAAAAACACACAAAGCAGGAGAGTCATTGAGACTGATAATCGACAAAAAACAAGGAGCAATACATAAACTGGCAAAATTTATCTGTCTCAAGTAAAAGAAAGTGACTGAAAAATTATATAATACAGTAAAGAATTAATTAGAATTTTTCCAAAGAATCAAAGGCACCCGTTTAGAGGCAAACGAACTATTGGTGAGCTTTTGACGTACATCTCAGCATAAAAAGCACTCACAGCATTACTGGAAAGCTTGGAAATAGAAGCTGGCATCCTGGGGAAGGAGCAAATCCGAAAAGAGCCTCTGAACCGAATAATCAGCCAAACAATAAAAACTATCTATTTTACAGAAGTGGGTTGACCTCGTTGTCGCAACTTGGTCTTGGGTTCAGGGAGACTATATAGAACACACCGAGTCCGAAGTCGTCTGCCATAGTAGTTGTCTGGATTCCCAGCATCTGACAGTGGACTTGATACATTCTCAATCAATCAGTGAGTCTTGCCATTCTCCT